AGACCTGGCAATAGTTAACAAAAGCAAAGTTGTGTGCTTTTCATTTTGAGCCTCCTCTAATTTGCGGGCTAGCTGCTTCAAAATGCAGACTTAATAATCTGCGTTCCCAACCAATTGAAATACCAGAGTGAATACTTTTTAGGGCTCAAAATCAAATCTGAAGACAAAGTTCTACTTGGAAGGATGATCATATCTGGTTTTACTGGTGACCCATAGCTAAGTTTGTCTGAATGAATGCAGGTTAACTGAGAATCGCACTGATCTGTGAGCACAGCTCAGACTGAAGGCTCATGGGATCTACTATGACTTCTATCTAGAGGTTCCCTCAAAAGCTAATGCATTTATAGGTTGGGCCTTTCAGAGATGGCTGGATCTAGGGTGTGTAAATATGGATGAAAGGTGTATGATAACTAGTCTACTGATTCATTTAGCATAGGCCTGGGTGAGGCTAATGGGAAGGCCCAATAGGTTTGTAGCTTGAATGGAATAAATAGGAAAGGGAAGCTCACTTCTGCGTGCCTCCTTCCTGAAGTGCCAGGGACTATTTCTCCTCTGCCTTGCTGCCCCTGCCTTGCAGCTAGCTGACTATGCACTGAAACTCTACAAGCTGTGACCTAAAATAAGCTTTTCTTTCATTAACTTGGGGGTGTCAGGTATTTTGTCCCAGCAATGAAAAAGTAACTAAGACACTTTAGAAGCAGAAGAGAGCAAAGAGCATAAAAAGAAATAATCCCTTTCTTTTTGACAAAGGACAAATGTATGGTTGATACTTTGTGTCAACTGAAGTCTAGAAGCTTCACTAAGTAACTCAGCAATTCTACATCCTGGGGTGCAAAGGTCATGCCCTTACTTCTGGGATGTTGTTCATTGTGTCAACTTGAATAGTTTAAAAATTTAAGTCACTCGGCAGGGGCAGGGGACCAGGGGGCTCATTTTGTTTTTTGGGCTTGTTTTTTTTTTTTGGTGGAACCTGGGATTGAACTCAGTCCCGTGTGCTTGCCAGGCAAGTGCTTATTCCACTGAGCCATCTCCCCAGCCTCTTTGTAAACATCCTGATCTTGAGGAAGAGGAGGGCAGGGAGATGCTGTGGGCAGATAGCCAGCATACAACATAAGGTAGGAAAAGCCCTCCACCCTTCTCTTCCTGCTTTTGCTGACTTTTGTGCCTGAAGCTATCGCCCCCTATTATGCCACCATGCCTTGAATCTAGCGGATCATGGACTGAAACCTCCACAAACTACAAACTAAGTAAACATTTCCTTTCTTAATTTTGAGCATCAGGTATTTTGTCTCATCAGTGAGAGAAAAGTAACCCAGACAACCAACAGTGGCAATGAAACTAGGTAGCCAAAGGACTCAAAAGAAGGCAGAGTTCAGATACAGAGTTGATCTAACATATGTCAATATGGACTCAACAAACTGTCTGCAGTAAGGTAAAAGGGGCCTTGGTGAGCACAAAGGTATAGATGACAGGGGTATACAATGACAGTGCATACAGTGTCTCTGTGGAACCTTCATGAATGCTACGGAAATAAATGAAGATTGCGCAAATGAAAACAAATACTATCCAGAATTTGCAGGATCAAGAGATTCATCAAACACAAACACTGACACAGACTCAAAGTCAGCCCAGAAAGCGACAAAGGTTTATTGTGAAAGAAAGGGCAGGTACAGTGGCTGACGCCTATGAGCTCAGTGACTTGGAAGATGGGGCAGGAGGCTCACAAGTTCATGGTCAGCCTCGTCAATTTATCCAGACCCTGTCAACAAGTGAATACATACATACATACATACATACATACATACATACTCTGAGCTGGGGTATGGCTCAGTGTAAAGCTTTGTCTTCAACATTCAGAATCAGGGTGGGGGAGGTCAGAAAGACTCTGACTGAATCCTGGTATGGAGACAGGAGCAAAAACTAGGAAAGCTATCTCACTGACCAAATTCTAACATGCTGCACCATTTCCTGCCAAACCTGTCGTCTGAAATACTGGACTGACTGTTGCTAAGGTTATCCACTAGTTTCCTGAGCTGACTGCCACAGGAGTTTTAGGTCGCAGTTCATTTATATATTCAGTGTGCATTTTATATTCAGTCTGTGACAGTGGGATTCTGACATTCTGTATGTTAAAATAACCTGCCTGGTGGAAGTATTTCAGTTTTTAGCTATTGAATCAGGAGTCATGATAATAATGTTTGTTCACATATAACTGTAAACTTTTTAATAAATTTTAACATATTATTTCCCTTTCTTTCCTTCTAATAACCTTGTAATTCTGAGATGTTAATTATCCAAGGTTATGCCATAGATTTGGGCTAAGAGTTAGGATTAGATCATAGAAACAGAATCATTTGTAACATATAACTCAAGTTTTCTGGCACAGACATGATCTATGATGGCTTTAAAATAAGTATTGTGAATTCTACTGTTGTTATGAAGGTTACCTGTGGTTATACATGTGAAGCCCTTGATTTGTTTTCGAGTACATAAGGAAAGTTCTACTAAGAATTTATTTGTTTTGATAAATTTTTAATTATCATTACATTTTTACTACCTTTATTTTTTTTCAAAGTTTTATTGACAAACAGATAGCAATGAGACAGTTTCAAATCAAATCGGAAGGACAGTTTCAACAAATAATACACTGCATATATTCTTCTTAGTGGTTAATTGCTGTACAAGATGCGGACTTGTGATCCTATTTACAAACACCATTAGAACAAATCATTCTATTCATTAAGAGAATGCAACTATATATCTATCCCAACCACTTTGAATACACAGATACAAAATGGACATTCATCGGTATACCCCATTTTTTCTAAGTTCCGTTATTGAATATTATAGGTGTGTAAACTTTACTACCTTTAAATTATTTTCTTTAGATGTAGTCTACTTTTGTGCCATAAATGTCAGATATTTTCAGCTGCCACTGAAACAAGTTAATCAATCCAACCCAATATTTAATGAATGCTTACATTTTGACAGATTTATTTTCAAGTTCTTGATATGACTTAAAGTTATAATAAAATGTACCTTTTCTAAAAATAAATATTTTGGGTTCCATTCTATGATAAAGGGTCTGCTCTAACTGTTTCAAATTTAATGGCTTAATGCTTGGATAAAACCTTGAAAGAAGGGGCATAGCTCCCTTCAAATACCTCCAAGGCTGTCTTCTGCAAAATGGTTGGTTCAAATGGCTCTGAAAGCCTAAACTAGTACGAGTGAACGGAAGAGGATAAAGCATCCACCAAGATGAGAAATATCTTTCTAATAATGAAGTATTTGTCCCCAAAAGAAAGTGTAGCTTTGTGGGGGCCTGGCCCTAGCTCAGTTCTTTAAGTGGCTGCTTCCACAATGCTGGCAGCCTCAGATTGCTGTAGTTCGATCCCCACAACACTCCAGCCAGCCAAAAGTGCCCTGAAGTGAAGGCATTGGAGGAGCAAAAAAAAAAAAAAGAAGAAAAAAAAAAGAAAGTGTAGCTTTGTGAAAGAGCTAGTTCCTCATGTCTCATGAAGTTTAAGTAGGAGTCCATGATCCTGCACTCCTAGAGACTTCTTAATCTTTCAAGGTTATGCTATGGAGCTAACCTCAAAGGCTTCCATAAGTTCAAGTTTATAAACTTTTGCTAAATCTTGAAAACATACATAGACATTTTAAACACAGCATTTCAGTCAAGCAGTTTAAAGTCATTAAAATTCTAGCTGAAATTTTTGTTATGTTTTTCAAAACCATGAGTTCTATTTTAAAATTTTATCCCTATGCTCTTGAATTAGTGTTTCCTTCTTTACGCTCATACATTTTCACAATAATTTTTTAATGAAAAATATAGTCTAAATCAATCTTTAAAGAGCACTCTTCTTGCACAGTTATAAAACTTTATGCCAAAGGTACTGCATTTAGTTTTGATATTTAAATGGATTACATGAATTCGTTGAAGTCAACAAACATGTGCCTTCCTTTACCTACATAACAAGTGCTAAGATTTGAATCTATGTTAAAGCTTTGTGGCTTCATTTTAATTGTCCATTCAGATTAAGAATTCTCCAGTTTATGAATAACTTAATGATGGAATAAAATTGTGAATCCTCTCCAATACCTAAATTGTGACTATTCCCCCAAAGATTTCTCTTACCACTTACCAAACTCAACAAGCCTTTTACATTTGATCTCCTTATTTTTACCATAAGGGCGTTTCCTGTTTGTAGTGGGCTGTGGTTTCTATCTCTTGAAAGCAACTTAGAATCTGGAAGAAGTCGCTGCAGAGGCACAGCCGGCAGCGAGAGTCTGGGCGAGAAATGCATTCTGCATAAATGTAGTTACTCGAGTCGTCTTTGGACAACTTCCGGGACCAGAGCTGGAAACTGTCCTCTTTACCATATCTATATTTTTATGACTGTACATATTTACGTACATTACACATATGGCCAGAGCGAGAGAGAGATGACGTGAGGCTCTCTTTGAGAATACGAGGTAATAAGGAAATGAAACAGGTGTCAAAAAGGAGCTGCACAGTCGCGGAGAGAGCGGAGCTCACCGGAGCCCTCCGCGGGCGGCGACCTGCGGGGGCGACTCGCGCCCCCCTTGGGGGCCTGGCTCTGCTGCTGTTTTCTCACCTGAAGCCGGAGTACACGTTCTTTAGAAACAGTCGTATTTCTTCCTGTAGAGCTGGTCAGGTTGATTTTTCTAAACCAGAGGATATTTCATTTTTATTATTTTCTATGCCTTTTTGTTACTGTCGCTTTTGTTGAGGCTGAGGGTCGCGATTCTGTCTGGGGAAGCGGAGCGTTCTCGGCGGTGGGGACCAGAAGCCGTGGAAACCCAGGGCAGAGCAGCCTGCCGGCCCGCTGCTCCCACAGAGAGCAGTCCGGGGACCCAGGCGACACTGCGTGCCTGGGGGCTACCCGCCCGCGCGCCCCACATCGCCCGATCCCAGATCGCGGCTCCAGGCTCCGCGGGGCTCGCCGGTCCCCGGGCCGCGCTGCTCCGCCGGGGCGGCGCCCACCATGCCCGGCTGCCCGCGGCTCGCGCTGCTCTGCGTGCTGCTCCCGCTCCTGGCTGCTGCTGCACCCCGGAGCCCCGCGGAGCCCCCCACGCAGTCCCTGGTGCCCGGCCGCCGGTACCCTCGCGACCCCGCCAGGGGCGCGGATTTCGATCGCGTGTACAGCGGGGTGGTGAACCTCAGCACCGAGAGCATCTACTCCTTCAACTACACCAGCCAGCCCGGCCAGGTAAGACTTGCTCCCTCCCCGCCCTCCGCGCCCAGAACTTGCCAGATTGCTGCGCCCTGGCGCAGCTTGGGCTCCCCTGAGATCTGCCCTCTGGAGAGGGAAATCCGTGTTCCTGTTCTGCGAAGCAGTCACTGCCCTGCCCAAGCTCCGGCCTCCAGCCTCGGGGACGGCTGGGCTTTCTCTCCCTACCCGGCCTGGCCGCTGGCATTTCTGGGCTTTCCAGAGGTGCTCAATCCCCACACTTTCCACAGCTCCCGGTTCCGCTGGGCCTTTCTCTAGGAAAAGTCCAGATTTCTAGGTTTGCCAGAGGGCGGGATGGAACCGAACCTCTGCTCTTTAGTGTCCTACAGGAAAGGGATCTCACTACATTGGTACAATGTGAGCCTATCTCATAGAGCAAGGACGGGAAAACCACTTAGAATCTAAAATGGAAATCAATCGTGTGAGAGTGGACGGAAGCTACAGAACCTCTGTGTATTCGATAGTCATTTCCTGCTTTTCTATACCTTTGTCACATGCATATGCAGCGGAGACGCTGGAAGACCGGCCAGGGACACTGAGTCTGCAGCCCTCTGCTGATGTGTGGAGGTTTTAATGTTAAATAAGGGTGAATAACGGTATGAACGGTCTAGGCCTATTTCTGGTAAGAGTTAAGGCTGAAAAAAAAAAAAAAAAAAAAAAAGGATTGTTCCAGTAACTGTGACTTTGACATACACACTCTGATTATATAACGTAAGGAAATGCACATAGTTTGCTTTTAACCTGGGAAGAGGGGTTCACCAATGGACCAACCTCTGCATCTTCTTCCCATATAAATGTGCCAGTTCCCTACTGTCTTGGGAAACTCCAGAAACAGATGTTTAGGGAATTTGTGTGGGATTTGGCAAATTAAAAACACCCAAAATAAAGCAAGCTACATCTTATGTTTCTCTCTTGAATTGTCAAAAACCTTTCTTCAAATTGAGAAAGGGGCTTGTGTTGAGCCAGAAGGACCAATGTGCCCATCATAGATTTCTTCCAGCTCTGTGTACTGAATTGCCCTTCCCCAGCCAGGCACCAAGTCCTCTGACCCCATCACCATGGCAGCACAGCCCTCCTCCCTCCCTCCCTATCCTTCTGTAACCTTCAGGCTATGTGTCCTGGAGGGAACAGAGAGGCTGTGTACAAATCCTCTCCACTGTAGACACGTGGGAAGGGGCATTCTTAACTTGCTAAACCCCACATAAAAGACACCTTCCTACCTAGTGTAGGGTTCTCATAAACTGGGCACATCAGGTGTGAACCTACCTCTGACTCCCTGGAAACACGCATCCCTGAAAACTTCACAATCTCTGGGCTGTGGTATCAGTTTCACCCTAAATCACTGGCAAGGAAACTCAGATTGTATGTGCAGAGTAAATCTTGGCATTGGGCTTTGATATTTCTTGCAGTTCTATTTAGGAACACACTGTTGAGGTGTTTTTTTCCCCTTTCCCCCTTAGTTTTGTGCTAGTTGCTGACAATAGCACAAATCTCTGTTGACAGTTGAGGTTACCTATTTGACTTTCCTAGCAAACCCTAAGTAATAGGGGCCAACCTGTGTTTATCTCTACCCTCAAACCTACTGCTGTGGGTGGCACAGAATAAGTTTATACATTTTTTTCAAAAATAAATAAGTGAATAAGAGATTAAACAATCTTTAGGCTAGAGCTAAATAAAGTAAAAAAATGTCTATTGTGTTAAATTTAATAGTTTGGAAGATATGAAACCACTTCAGATAACAAAAATTTAAAAAATTGTTATACCATTTCTCTTTTGCTACCTCTGTGCAAAATGGCTTTATTTTCTGAAGTAATGGTGATAAGTGGTTTTTAAAATACCTTTCCACAATACAACCAAAAATTGGCAACCACAAGCAATCTTTTTTTCATTAAAATGTTACCAAGAAAGGCCAACGAGAAATACTAAATTGAAAACCATGAGACCAGTATAACAAGGACTTCAATTATATAATATTGGTATGCATCAAGATAAACCAGATGTCAAAACTTAAAAGTTCCTGAGACACTTTGAATACTTATTTATTTATTTATTTTAATTTTTTTTTTTTTTTTTTTTTTTTTTTTTTTGCAGAACCAGGGATTGAACTCAGACCCTTGTGCTTGCCAGGGAAGCGCTTATTCCCCTGAGCCATCTCCCCAGCCCCTCTTTGAATATTTAAATAAGAGAACGAAACCTTCAACCCACTGACTACTCTCATCTCTCCAGCCATATTTCTATTGCTTGCTCAAGAGAGGCCATTTTCTTGATCTGTCTCTCCGAGGCCTTACCCTCAGCTTCTACTAGTGGCCTCCTCTGTCTGGCTTCATTTTGTCCCAGGTTAAGGACCAGCTAAACCACTTCTGAGAACATGAACACCTGGGGTATAGCAGAATTTTACTGAAGGCCTGCAATAAACACAAGAGAAAAGTACAGAAAGAGCATTACTAATAGATTAAATCAGAAATCTAGGCAACACTGTCTTAGCCATGATTCTCTGTCAGAGAGCATGTCAAGGTAGTGACTCTCATTCTTGTGATCTTTTTGGCCATCCCTGCACTCTGGCCTCTACCCTCTAAATTTTTGTTATTCTCCCTTGTTGAATAATTTTTGCCTCCATTCCCAACTCCAAACTCAAAGAGGGGCTCTGCTAGATAAAGATCTATGGTGTCTGGAGCACAGGCTCATGTATGATTGCCTTTCCACTAAATTTTCACCAGCCAAGCCTCCCTCCACTGTAGTCAGTAGTCACCTCCATCTTTAGTCAACAAAGAGTTTGGTTCAGAAGAAAAGTCTTAATTTTGAACTTTTATCTTTTTTTCCCTTTCTCTTCAGTCTGATATTGTTTGCCATTGTTTTTCCTTTGCTTGAGGAATGATCTATCCTTCCTTCTATACAGCCTTTGCTGAAGAGAAGAAGGAATTATGAGAGCCCTTGTTCCTAATCTTTCCTATCATCTACCGCCTCTCGTACAACTGCCATCCCAGAGAATGATTTCAATAAGCATGTGTCATGCTGAATTAGATGAACTAGGCACCAGGAAAAGTCTCCAGTGCCTTGCAGGCATAGAGAAATATAGATATGAAGTTGCCATTTAAAAAAAGGAGAGCCTAGTTTTAAAAAGATAATAATAATTAAAGATTAAGGTTAGGCAAGATCAGGTTAATTTGCTTTCTCTGGAGAAGTTTCTAGAAACTCCTTTTAAGGGGAGTAAGGTTACACTGCAAACAGGATGTTCTATAACCACAAGGCTCAGCCAAAAGGGAAATCACCTGGTTGGGAAAGTCACCAATGATGTTTGACCAGAACAGGGGACAGTGATACATTACTGGGCAGAAAATGTCTGTATAGAGACAGATGGCAACAGCAATCAGATGCTTCTGTCAGAGCTAGAAGGTGTTTAAGAATCCCTTAAGTTAAGATCTAACCAATCTGTAACAGGTTATCTTCTCAGAGGCTTGCAGTGACAGCATTGAATGTAATACATTTTGAACCATTTCTCTGGCAATACCTTCTTTACCTTCTTAAGTGGAGGCATTTATCTCTCAGTGACATATATTATACTTTTTCTCTATCCAAGGAACAATCGTTGTCTATTTTAGTATCAACCAGTATTTATACATCTAGAATGAGTTGTATTGGTCTCTTGAATACAGACATAAAAAGCCTGTCCAGCTCCCACAAATGACGAAATACATGACGACACTGTCATGGTAACTTCTAGCTATGTACATACAGCTCTCTGTATCTGTTGGTGTCAAATCTATGGATTCAATGTACCCCAAATTGAAAATACTCAAGAAAAAAATCTTTGTCTGTAATAAATATGTACATACTTTTTCTTCACATTGTTTCCAGACAATATAGTATAACAGCTATTTAAATAGTATCTTTATTGTACTAGGTATTATAAGTAATCTAGTAATTTTAGTAACACAGGGAGGATCCTCATAGATTATAGGCAAATACAATGCCACTTCATACAAGGGATTTGAGTGTTCAGTAAGAGTTCTAAAGTAAATTTTTTCACAGCACTGAGGGACAACTGTACTGTACATTATTAGTTACATGAAACAGTTAAAATTTGGCTGTGGTAGCCTCATTTCTTCTACCTGGCACAGGGAAAGCTTGCTGTTCTTATGCTGCAGCCAAGAAGTCACCTTTGCTGTCCTCCCACATCCTTTTATTGAACAGAGCTATTGCTTGTTGGAGAGAGGAATCATCTCATTACCACATTATCTGGATGATTGGTCCCGCAACAACAAAATACCATTGGTGGGTCCAGTTTATAGGGAAGGCCTGTTTCCCAACTTGTACGCGGCCAATTTCTTGCTGTGCCCCCAAAAGGCAAAGAGTGCAAAGAGAAGCAAAATCTTCCAGGGCCCCTTTTGTAAAAGCATGCAACCAGCTTCTGTTTCTTTGGAGGAGCCCCAGTCTTCACCTTGACCTTGGATGTTGTCTCCTGGCTTCCAGCACAGACTCTTCAGCCTCCAGAAAATTTCAAGGCAGGATATGGGACTTCTGGGAAGATGAAAGACTGGTGAAGAGAAGAGAAATAGCACCTCTGAGATTTGGCGTCCAAACACTGGAATACAGCAACAGGAGGAAGAAAAGGAGGAAAGTGGATCCCTGGGATCCAGCAAGGATCTGAAGCAAGAATTGAAGCCCACAAAAAAAGTGAAGAGAGAGCCCTCAATGCATAAGAAGGAGGTAGCAAGCAGGACTTTTTACCTGAGCCCCAACTCACTGCATGGGAGGGGCAGCTCAAACCTGCAAAAATATAGTGACTGCTGGCACCCTGAGAGGCCTCCACAGAGAAATGCACCAGAGCAATGGAGTAGTGGATGCAGCAGACTGCAGTGATTGTTGAATCACTTGGGTTCAGATGCCCCCAGGAAAGCATAGTAGGCCAGTAGACATCTTGGAGAGGGGCCAGCTGAGTTTGTAAGTCAGAGCAGTTGTGGGATGGCTCCATCTAGAAG